AAGGCTTCCTGGAAATCCCCATAGACACTCTCACCAATGATAGTTGGATGAAAAGTTTCAGTCATCGGATTCTCTGAGCACTCATAAAATAGCAGTAGGGAGTCCAGCTTGATTTGAAAGGAATCGACACTGAATTCAAACTGCCGCCTCAGAGAGTCCACAAATTTCAGCTCCACATTTTTGCCACTGTTGTTGGACAGGGAGATGAGACTCCATCGGTCTGAATCATTGCATACTTTTACCATTTTCTGCACATAAGCCTCCTATAATTGGAAAAACAAAATGAGCAAATCAAGAAACAGATGCAAGAAATCCCCTTCAGTGCATTTGCTTGTACCCCTAAAGCCCCCCCAATCCTTGCATTTCATAAAAGATTTCATGGAGCCTGCAGATACAAACCAGAGAAGAAATGCTTAATGTGAGAGCTCAGAATGCTACCACTGCAGGAGGATGACAGAGAAGGGTGTTCTACTGGGACTGTGGCATGCAAGGGAAGCATATAGCAACACTGCTTCTTTCAGTCACTTTTAAATACATCTACACACTAAGCCCATGACACACATGCCAAATATGCCTGCACCCACACGCAAAAGGGCGCTACTACAACCAGATAAGAAATCTTATTTATCTGTTTCCACTTCTCTCTCTCCTCCCCACAAAAACAACTTAGCAAGTGTTCACTCCCCTCAATCCTTCCAGTGCAGGTTCCACAAATCTGCCCCATATCAAAAAAAAAAATCTGTCTAAAAATCTGAAAGACAGCTGGCATTTGGTCTAATCAACTCAAGCAAACTGTCTTCGAGGGGAGGGAATATGCCTCCCCCCTAGGCACTTAGCGCACCTGAATGCATGCCTTACAGGCGGGGTTTCGTTCTTGCAGATATAAAATCCATCTATGCTCCCCTTGCACCCAGGAACCGGTCCGGCACACCGAGCTGCCGCCAAGACAGGTTGGGAGAGAGGTGTGCAGCCCCCCCGGCACACACACGGCCCAGGTAAAACAACGCTCCCAGCAAATCAACCGAGAGGGAGAAAAGGCTAATTAATCCTGAAGAGCCCCGGCCAGGGCGCTTCATTGCAAACTCCTTCTCGATTTTAAGCGTGAGGTGAAAAAAATCGTTCAGGGTCCCCCTGGGTCGCGGGATGTGGGGGAGAGCTGCGTCTCTGAGTCCACCCCTCCATTCCCAGTGGGAAGGTGCCCACTCCCCGCAGGCAGGCGCTCACACTTGCCCGCTCCGGGCGTCTGAGCACAGGGCAGGTTTACCTTGAGGGTGAGTGGCGTGATCTTCTCCTTATTCACCCCCTCGGGTAAGAAATCCAAGAGGCAGTCCAAGACCACGTCCTTCACAGTCTGAAATTCGGCTTCCCCTTTGAGGTCGGCGCAGAAGATGAGGTCCAAGTCCTTGTAGCCCAAGCCGCTGTCCTGGTGTAGGACGTGGCTGGCGGCCGAGCCGTTCAGCCGCACGTCGCGCAGGCCGATGCCTTTCTCCTCCAGCCGGCTCCGCACCACCTTAACGATCTGGCGGGGCTGCATGGCCAGCGTGGGGAAGTTGCCGCGGCCGTGGATGGGGATGGTCTCGCTGAGGATGCGGTCCAGCCGCTGCACTTGCTCCCAGCTCAGCACGTTGCAGTGCGCGCTCTCGCCGCCGCCCGCGGAACTCCCGCCGGGGCTGCCGCCGGCCTTCTCATCGTCTGCCATGGTGTGCGGCCGCCGCCTCCTCGGGCTGGATCCAGGCACCGCTCCGGCTCCTCGCCGGCCCCCCGGGCCCCCTCTCCCTCCGCGCCTGGCAAAACAGGAGGAAAAGCCAGCGGTCAGCAGCTGCGCGCACCTGGCTCCCGAGCTCCGCTCCCCAACGGCCGTCCCTTCCAGCGGGGAAGCGGGGGACACACCTACTGATTAGACTAAAAAAAAAAAAAAAAAAAAGAAGGAGAAGAGGGGGAGAAAAAGCCCCCCGAAGCCGGGCGGTGCTGCAGGATAGAGGAAGGCGCCCGACCTGCAGAGCCGCTGCTTGCGCCGCTCTCCGCGCCCTCGCCGGGGCAGAGGCTGCCCCGCGCCGACGGAGAGGCCGCCCCGCACCGCCCAAAAGGCCGCCCCACTCTCTGCCGCCGCAGGCTGCCGCCGTCTCCGGAGCTTTCGTAGTCCTGCCCGGGAAAGGTCCCCAGTAGTTTTTATACGGGGTTTCTCCGCTCTTCCGGGGCTCCGAGTCACGGCGCCCTCGTCCCGCCCCCTGCATCTGCATGGCCGGCCCGGCGGTGCCCCCGGCACGCCCACACCCCGCGCAACGGCGGTCCGCCCGCCCCTCCGCGCCGGCGGAGCGCCCAGCGCCGCCGTCCCGCACCGCCCCGCGCTGGGAAACCCGCGCAGCGCAGCTTTCCCCGGCACGGATCCGGGGAGGCAACAAGTGCAAAACCCCTCCCTGCCTGCGCAGGGGGCGCGGCCCGTCCCGCTCCCGCCGTGCCCAGATGCGCGCCCAGGGGCACCCAGCTCCGCGCTAATGTCCATTCCCGTTTTCCCCCCACCCCGCCTTTTTACCTCTTGCCCCCCTCCCCCCGCGACATTCCCGGTCATCCCAGGCGCAGCCAAACTTCATACCAGAGCGACGGAATTTGGCAAGGGCCTCTCTCCAAACAGATGCTGAGGATCCCGGGCCGTGTGGTTTGCGCTGCTCAGCTCCTGATCGAGATTTCCAGAGCTGCCTGCAGCAGCTCAGAGGCACCACGCCGTGCCTGCCCGGCCCTGGCCCGGCCCCCTCCCCCGCGCCCGCCCGCCCTCCTCGCCGGCGCGGAGGGGAAAAAGAAATCCCGAAGAGCACGAAGGAGCTCGTGCCTTCTCGGCGAGCATCCTGCCTATAGAGCATACTTGGGTAACTGCGGAGCGGGAAAAATAACGTTTAAGACATGCATATTATATAAACATACACATATATTTTGTTTCAGTTACGTTTCTTTTGAATAACAATGGATGTACCTGCTTCTTTTTCATCCCTTTAATACAAATACATATAGATACTATTTAAAATAGTATGGATACCATGTACATATAGTTATTCTTAACATACAGACAGATACTATTTAAAACATAGAGATACCATTTTAAACAGGCTAAGCGCGGACACACACACATACTACACCCCGCACGCAGCAGCACCCGGGGACCCCCGGGGTCCGCCACCGCGGTGTAGATAGCGGGTTGCGTGGAGAGATGCAGGGATGGGGGGAGGGATGGGGTGGGCAGGACGGCGTTGCATCATTGCTCGCAGCTTTGTGACGCGCGGCTGGAAAGCAAATGGGGGTGCGCAGAGACGTGACGCGCGGCTTCCTCAACCAGGCACCTCGCCAAAGTGGGTGGGGGGCCAACAGACCCCGACGGGGTTTACTGCCTCCTCTCCCCAATTTTAGTGCCCCCCCCCTCCATAATCTCCTGCCTTGGGATTGGGTTGGGGGGGTATGGGGGTGTGTCCCGCTCCTCACAGGGAAACACCTAAGCCGGGCGAGCTGGCGTGGTTTATCCTCCCCCCTCCAAAAGCAGAGGCGGGGGTCTTGCCGAGCTCGGCGTCTCTCCCGTCGGGGGAGACCCCCCGGCCCGGCCCGGCCCAGCCGCGGGGCAAGAGCGCCCCCTGCCGGGCTCCCGGCGCTCCCGAGGGGGCGGGCGCAGCCGCGGCCGGAGCGGCGGGGGGTGTTTGTTCTGGGGGCGGCCTCGGCTTTGATTCACTGCCCAGATTCCCTCTTACTTCAGCAGCACGTCTGCTCCTGACTCTGGAGCAGGCAGGGAGCAGGGGCGACTCCACGCTGTGCCCCCGTCACGCAGCACCGCCGGCCCCTCCCCGTGTCACTCACGGGACGAAAAAATTGGCTGTAGTGCTCTATGACAATGCATTATATGAAAAAAAAAAAAAAAAGAAAGAAAGAAAACGGACCAAAAAAATAGGGCAGGAAGCTTTTAAAATCC